GTTCTCAGCGTGTTGGGGCCGTCCCAGGGCTACCAGACGCCCCGCGCCAGCTACAGACACTGCTGCCGCCCGTGGGGAGCGCACCCGAGCGGCCCCTGCCCCTCCTGGAGGGGACCTGCCTGGCCGGTACTCGTGGGCCACCTGGGCTGACCCAGCCCTGCAGGGTGGCCCGGGGGCCCAGCGTGTGCAGAAGAGAAGGGCTCAGAGTCCGCCCGCTCTGGGCTCTAAACACGCCTCCCTGTGGCCCCGAACCCCCCACTTCAGCCGCCTCCTCCCTGGGGCCCCGCGGAGGGCTCCGAGGCAGCCCAGACAGGCCCCCGCCTTCTTCCTGCTCCCGGGGCACCTGGCTGCTGGGACCTGGGAACCATGTCCGATAACAGGCTGGACGTCCCTTGGGGCGGCGCTGGCGGTCATGGCTCCCGAGGTCACTTTGCCACCCAGGGAAACAAGGAGGGTATTGTCCCTGGGCTGCGCCCCGTCTCCACCCTCACCCGCGCTCCCCCGCCATGGCCTTCTGGGGACCTGGTGGGGCCTCGCGTCCTGGCTCTGTGGGGGCCGAGGCAGGGCCGGGAGGGGGGCAGCCCGCAGGCCCAGCTCCTCCGAGCAGGGACCCCGGCTCTGCCGCCCGGGGGCTTGCAGCTCCGCCCAGGACAGGAAGAGATAAAGCCGCAAATGAGATAAAGCTCCTTTTATCTGGAGGAGATAAAAGCAAACTTTGTTATAGGGTTCTGTCTGGGGCAGAACAGCTCGATCAAATATTTGCAGAACCGTTTAGCACCGTTTAGCGGGCAGAACACAGCCAGGCCGAAGGCTTCGATCGACACCCCCTCCCGCCATGGGCAGGTCTCCCACGCAGGCCCTGGGGGAGGGGCGCCTTGGGCAGAGCCCCTCCCCCACCCATGCCCTGGGGCCCCGAACCCTGATCTGGGGGCAGCCGTGGCTCTGTCTGCACGGGGTTCCCCACGCCCCTCTGCCCGGGCGGGGGTGACGCCCAGCCGGCACCCGCTCCCAGGGGTGGCCTAGGTCCTGCCCCACCGCTCTCCTGTTGGGAGGTGGGCCGGGCGCGTCCTCACTCGGGTCTTCCCTCCTCCGCGAGGCTCAGGCGAGACTCTTCCAGCCTCCAGTGACCCCCAGCCCACCGAGCCTCCTGTGGGGTGGGCAGGGGTGGCCCCCCGGCTGCCAGAATCCACACCGCGCAGTCCAGGTGCTTTGTTTGGCTCAGGCGAGACTCTTCCAGCCTCCAGTGACCCCCAGCCCACCGAGCCTCCTGTGTGGTGGGCAGGGGTGGCCCCCCGGCTGCCAGAATCCACGCCGCGCAGTCCAGGTGCTTTGTTTGCAGCAGTTCCTGAAGTTTCCAAGCCCCGCCCGGCGTGAGCTCGTGCTTCCTGCCTAGCGCCAACTCCTTTCTGTCCCGCAACCGCTAGAGTTGCGAGGACAGCAGCAGCAAACAGGAGCCGCCCCCTGACAGCGCAAGAATCGTGCGGCCACCGCGAGGAGGCGTGGGCTCCAAAAGGCGCCGTCCCCGGTGGCCCTGAGCAGAGTGGCCGGAGGGCACCTCGCACCTGCTCGCGGCGGCGCCCCGGGAGGGCGGGAGACGTTGCCGTGGGTTCTCGTTCCCTGCCTCCGCTCCGGAGCGCTTGAACCCGCCACCCACGCGGTTGTGGCCCCGGGCTGGAGGCTGCGGTCAGCAGACCGGGGTCCTGACCACGGCCCGGCCCTCCCCGGGCTGCGTCGTGGCCGAGGTGCGCGCCCCGAGGGGGCGTGGAGGTGCTCGCAGCGTGGGGCCCGGGCGCGGCTGACTTTGCTTGGGGGGAGCCACTGCCGTCGGCCGGGGCCCAGGCCCCGAAGGCGTCCACGTCGCAGTCCCGAGCGCGGGTCACATTGTGTGGCAACAGGGCGTGGCGGCTGTGAGCGGGTGGAGGGTCTCGGGCGCGTCCTGGCGGGCAGGTGGGCCGGGTGATCCCGAGGGTCCTTCCAGCAGGGGCGGGCGGGCAGAAGCAGCGCTTGGAGAGATGGCGGAAGGCGCTCCGCGGCCCTCTCGAGCCGGCCTGGGAGGGGGACCCGGCCCGGCCGCGTGTCTCCTCACGTGGCGTGTCCCCTTGCCTCTTGCTGTGACTTCCGTGTGCCCTGGAGAGCCCTTGGAGCCTCAGTTTCCCCAGCCGTAGCATCCTCTGACGGCGGCGTGGTGGCGAGGACCCGGGCTGGCGGGGCCTTGTGGCGATTCCCGGTCACTGTCCGGGTTGCCCTGGCCGGCCCCTGTGGGTGGCGGAGTGGTCCTGGCTGGGGGCAGCCCGCCGTCCCCCCAGTCCCCCCCTGTGGCTGGACACAGAGCCGTTCCTCTGGTTCTCACGGGCCGTGAGTGGGTGGGTGGTTTCCCGCATCTTCTCAGGAGGAGACGGGGGCCACGGGGAAGGCTTGTGTCATCCTGGAGACCGGTGGGGGGAGCTGCCCGGGCCACACGCCTGCAGGGCAGCGGGTGGGGGGTGCCGCGTCCTTCCGTGCAGAGGCCCCCTCTGCACCCGGGGCCCGTGCAGAGGGCGGGGGGGTGGGGCACCGCCTCCCCTGGCAGCACCGGCTTCACTTCCTCTCGGCCGAGCAGGCTGTGCCCCCCGATCCCACTTCCCTGCTTGCTGTGGGTCGACATGGGAGGGTTGGGCGTGGGGCCTCGGCGCGAGGAGCCCTCAGGGTGGGGTAAGCCGGCAGCCGGCCCAGCAAGAAGGGGAAGGGGCCGTGGGGGGCTGGGGGTCCATGCAGGCGCCCCTCGAGAGCCTGGGTGGGGCCCCTGCCCCCCACGGTGGGCGCCACGTTCCGGGCAGGTGGGGCTACCTGAGTGGCTTCCCAGAGCCCGGGGCGGCGCCCACTGCAGATGGGCACGGACCCTCCCGACCAGCGCCTGCGTCCACCCCGTGAGGCCCCGAGCTTAGCTGGGAGCCCATGTCGTGCTGCCCCTTGGAGGGGTCCCCACAGGGTCCGGCCTGGGGTCCCGGCCGCGTCTGTGGAGTGCGTGACTCTGCCCGCTCCGAGTGGCCCCGTGGGTGGTGTCTCGGGGACAGACGAGGGCATGGGCGGTCGCAGCATGGGGACGGCCGGGCCTGGGGGGCACTGGAAGGGCCTGGGCGCCCCGCCTGAGCTGGGCAGGGAGGGGCCGAGGCGGTGCAGGGTGACCTCCGTGTACAGAGAGGGTGCCTGGCGGGGGCCCTGTGGGTGAAAACACCAGGCAGCTCCAGGGAGCCAGGGCGCCAGGTGTGAGGGCAGCACGTGGTTGCAGGTGAGGCTGAGGAGGGCGGTGCTGCGTGCCCCACCCCCAGTCCTGGGGGGCCACCCTGAGACTTGGGGCTGATCGGGTTGTGCATCAGCTTGGCGTCCTTGGTGGGGGTGTGGCCGGGGCCAGTGCTGCGCTGGGCTGTAACCCACTGAGGGCGGTGCCGTGGGTCATCGTGGAAGGGACATGGGCTGCCAGAGGCCAGGAAGGGGTGGCCCTGCCCATGGGAGAGTGTGGGGGACCCCAAAGTCCCACCTGCCCCAGGAAGCTCGGGGCTGCAGGGAGGACGGCCAGGGCTGTGGGAGGTGGCCTCGGCCGGCCGCAGAGGGTGGGCAGGGCCCTGCAGACAGACAGGTGGGGGTGAGGCCCGGGCGGCGCTGAGCCTGCAGGAGGCTGGGTTGGGGGACAGGCAGAGGGTATCCTGGCTGCTTCAGGGGGGGAATGGGGGGAGTCTTAAAAGCCACTGGGGGGCAGGATCTTGGGGGGCCTGGGCCCGGGGTCGGTGCAGTGGTTGCCTGGGCTCTGTGCCTGTGACTTCCTCTCTGTCCACGTTTCCCACGTGGCAGCTTCTTAGCTGTCCTGTCCCCAAGGACCACCCCCTCGAGGGTGCTTGGGGTCTCTGGAGCCCACTGGAACCTCCTCCCAGGCAGGAGGAGGGCCGGGGCCACCTCGGCCTGGTGCCACTCGGGGACGCTGAGCTCGGCTGAAAGGCCACTGCCAGGGGTCGGGGCCCCGGAGGGTTTGCCGCAGGAGGTGCCCGCCTTATCCTCACGGTTCTGGCGTGATCAGAGCGGCGGCCCTCTGCCTTCCCTGTGCGCCGGGCGGCGCAGGCGGGGCTCTTTCCAAATTCCCTTTGATGACTTTCGCTGTGGCTGGGCGGCTTCTGGGACCTGGGGGGGGGGAAGGAGAGGACAAGGGCCGCGCCCTGCAGCCGCCAGGACCCTCTGGGAGCCACGGACTCCTGGGGACACCACCAGCAGGTGTGGGAGTCGGGGCCCCCAGCAGGTGTGGGAGTCGGGGGGCACCCCCAGCGGGGGTGGGAGTCGGGGGGCACCCCCAGCGGGGGTGGGAGTCGGGGGGCACCCCCAGCGGGGGTGGGAGTCGGGGGGCACCCCCAGCGGGGGTGGGAGTGGGGGGGCACCCCCAGCGGGTGTGGGAGTCGGGCCACCCAGCAGGTGGCTCTTACGCCTTCACTGCAGGGAGCCCCTGCCCGCGGCCCTGCGCCCTGGGGGCTCGGCTCCTCTCCGCGCAGTTCCTAAGGGCGGAGCGAGCCCCTTCCCCGCGGTGCTGGGGCGTTGAGAGCTGCGCGGCCGTCGTCTCACTCTAGAGTGTTCAGTCGCTCCAGAAGGAAGCCCCGTGCCCTCCTGCCGCCGCCACCGCCATCTGCTCCCGTGGGTCTGCCCGTCCCGGGCAAGGCCGGGCGGCAGGTAGCCCCGCGAGTCGTGGTCTCAGCGTGACGCCCTGAGGTCCGTCCGTGCCGCCTCGGGGGTGGCGTCCCTCTGCGTGTGCGCCCCGCCTGTGTGTGCGCACACCAGCCGCGGGTGACGGGCTCGGGCTCACGCTGGGCAGGGCCGAGGTGTGGGGCGTCCGCGCCCAGGTGTGCTGGGGGGGGCGGGCGGCCGGGGGACAGGTGGCGGGAGCTGACCCTGTGGCCTGTCTTGCAGCTTCCTCATTGTGCTGGTCTGCCTCATCTTCAGCGTGCTGTCCACCATCGAGCAGTATGCCGCCCTGGCCACGGGCACCCTCTTCTGGATGGTACGTAGGTGCCCAGGGCCGTCCCGGTCGCCATGGGGACTGGCGTCTCCCGGGCATTGGGCCCGATCGGGTGGGGCAGAGCTGCTCCCCGGCCTCTCTCCCGCAGTCACCTGCTGCCCGGCCCCCCATGCCCGTGCCAGCCCCCCGGGACGCGTGTGCCGCGGGTGGGGAGGGCGGAGGAACGAGAGGGACCTGGAGCTTGTGGTCTGGGAGGGCTTCCTGGAGGAGGGGCCGGCCGCAGAGGGTGGGCAGGGCCCTGCAGACAGACAGGTGGGGGTGAGGCCCGGGCGGCGCTGAGCCTGCAGGAGGCTGGGTTGGGGGACAGGCAGAGGGTATCCTGGCTGCTTCAGGGGGGGAATGGGGGGAGTCTTAAAAGCCACTGGGGGGCAGGATCTTGGGGGGCCTGGGCCCGGGGTCGGTGCAGTGGTTGCCTGGGCTCTGTGCCTGTGACTTCCTCTCTGTCCACGTTTCCCACGTGGCAGCTTCTTAGCTGTCCTGTCCCCAAGGACCACCCCCTCGAGGGCGCTTGGGGTCTCTGGAGCCCACTGGAACCTCCTCCCAGGCAGGAGGAGGGCCAGGGCCACCTCGGCCTGGTGCCACTCGGGGACGCTGAGCTCGGCCGAAAGGCCACTGCCGGGGGTCGGGGCCCCGGAGGGTTTGCCGCAGGAGGTGCCCGCCTTATCCTCATGGTTCTGGCGTGATCAGAGCGGCGGCCCTCTGCCTTCCCTGTGCGCCGGGCGGCGCAGGCGGGGCTCTTTCCAAATTCCCTTTGATGACTTCCGCTGTGGCTGGGCGGCTTCTGGGACCTGGGGGGGGGAAGGAGAGGACAAGGGCCGCGCCCTGCAGCCGCCAGGACCCTCTGGGAGCCACGGACTCCTGGGGACACCACCAGCAGGTGTGGGAGTCGGGGCCCCCCAGCAGGTGTGGGAGTCGGGGGGCCCCCCAGCAGGTGTGGGAGTCGGGGGGCACCCCCAGCAGGGGTGGGAGTCGGGGGGCACCCCCAGTGGGTGTGGGAGTTGGGGGGCACCCCCGGCAGGGGTGGGAGTCGGGGGGCACCCCCAGCGGGTGTGGGAGTCGGGGGACACCACCAGCAGGGGTGGGAGTCGGGGGGCACCCCCAGCGGGGGTGGGAGTCGGGGGGCACCCCCAGCG